TTTTTTTTTGTTTCGCTAAAAAAAATTCCTCTGCCAAAATCATTTCGACCTGTTTTTTCGTCGGCTTTATGACCTAATGATGAGACGTTTCAAGATCAACACAATTGTAGCACCCCCCTCCGCATTTTCCAAGTTGCTTGTATCTTAAACAATCTGTTTGTTGAAATTTCATTTTTAGCTTTGGGCAGTTTAAAAAAATTTTGAAGTTTTTTTGGAAAATAGTTTTCACAGAAACTTTTCCTGATTTTCAAAAAAGGAGTATCAATTGAAAGACCGCATATTCTTCTGTGTGCCTGCACACTCCCCTAGAGTGTTTTTTTACTCAACCCCTGTCTACAACCTTCGAAAAAGTGTCGAGGAATGTAGGACCCATATTTTTGATTGTTTTGCCGTTTTCTCGAAAACTACTCTCAAATATGAGATTTTAGTTTTAATTGATATAATTGTTTTGAAAAGCTCCCCTGCATAAGTGGCTACGACGAAATTTTTTGCACCTAAAGGATGGGCCTCGGAATAGTCAGTTTTTTGATTTTTCACCGTTTTGTAGATCTCTACTTTTCTCGATAAATAACCTCTCAAATATGATATTGTGAGTTCAATGATGAAGTAACAGGTAGTGCATCAGCGGACACCAACAAAAAGTTTTACGCAAGAAGTTATCGCCCTCTGAAAAGTCGAGTTTTTGATTTTTTGAGAGCTTGCATATAAACTTTTTGAATGTTCTCGGGGTTCAATTCTCAGAGCGGGCTTCGGGAAGATCGTTTGCTTATGCAACTACACACAAATTTTTTGATTCCATTAGTTTTGGCCTTCGGAAAAGTAGAATTTTTGATTTTGTGACTGTCTTTTTTTAAGAAATTGATTTTTCTCGATAACTACTCTCCCAAATGTGTTTTTGTGGGTTCGATGAGATAACGAGTAGTGGAACGCTCATCTGCATAAGCGCACACTAACAAAAAGTTTTACACAAAAAGTATTGCCCTCTGAAAGTCAAGTTTTCGAGTTTTTGACCGTCTTCTCAAAGTTTTCGATTATTCTCGAAAACTACCCTGCCATACTTGAAATTTTGGGTTCAGTTCCCAAAACGGATTTGACATTTCCTTTGCTTATGCGGCTATGCACAAATTTTTTAACTCTTAAAATTTTACCCCTCGGAAAAGTAAAAGTTCTGATTTTGACCGTTGTTTTCTAAGTTTTTGACTTTTCTCGAAAACTACTCTCCCAAATCTGAGGTTTTGGGTTCAATAAAATTGCAGATTGCCCGAATCCCTTCTGAATAACCTTGTTGATTCCGTTTAAGATTCTCGGAATCGTCAAATTTTTGATATGTTCGTTTTTTTTTTTCTCGCTAACTATCCTGCCTGATCTGATATTATGGGTTTAATCGAATTAACAGGTTGTTGAAAGCCTACCTTTCAAATCAGCTATGCTCAGTTTGTTTAAGAAAAAAAGTTATAGCCTACAAACAAATCAAAGTTATGAAATTTTGACAGTTTTTTTGGAAAGTTATTGACTTTATGCGAAAACTACTGGGCCAATTCTCAGTTTGTGTTAAATCGAGAAACCCGGCTTTGAAAATGTTCTCTGCTTAAGCGGCCATAACCTGCTGTTTTCAGAAAAACGCTATGGATTTTGGAAAGTCTTTTGAACAGTTGTTAGATTTTTCGACTTTTTTTTAATTTTGCAACTATTCGAATTTTCTTAAAATTCACACAAACAAATCTTGGAAAAAAGTTCCATTAAAAGAACGGGTTGCAATAATTGTTCTTGCCGAAGCAGCGATTCCCTAATTTTTTGTAATAGAGAATGTTATCTCCTTGGAAAAATTGATTATCCCAAAATTTCGTACTTTTCTCACTTATTATAGCCGAGCAATATCTAATGTTATTGGCAAGTCTTATTTTTGAAATCACACTTTTCATGCCGCATCATTATAGCAAACTCATTCAATTTTAAACACTACTTCTTACTTTAGCTGGGCCTGTAGTTATTTTTTATCGAAACTTCGGTTCACCTAGTAATTTTCAACACCTTAAATTTTTTTTCGACTTATGTTTTCTGTTTTTTTTTGTATTCGTCTGTGTCAAAAAATTGTAAATAATAAGTTGTTCTTGAAGTTGAAGAGCTTTAAACCTATATGTTTTTCATTGTGAAACTCATAAGTTGAAGTTTTTCCTCAAAAGTAAGGAAAAGTTTTCTGTTTCCTTGCGTTCATTGAATCTTTTCCAACTCTCTGTTGGCTATGTGTATTTTTTTTTCGTTTTTTCAAAGATGAAAAGTCTGAAAATTTACATATTCACGGCTTGAATTTTTATTTGTTTTTCAAGTTGAATTCTTTTCCTCAAAAGGAAGGTAGTTTCGAAAGTGGGTTTTAATTTTCAGTTTTCCCAGTAGAATTAAAACTTAGGCTTTTGATCCATTTTTTAAGTTTATTTTCATCAAAAAATAGTCATTCTTAAATTTTTCTTGTAAATTAAAGAGCTTTAAGGCCATTTCTTTTTTTTTCAAAGTTGAAGTTAATCGAAAAACAAGTCAGTTTTTTTTCGGTTTCGTGGCTTTCGTTTACCTTTTACCAACCCTCTGTTGGCTATTTTTTGCTTGCGTGTATTTTTTGTAAAAGAACCGATTGAAGCTGTCAAACCCACTCTAATTTTCATGCTGAATTTTATGGACAAATTTTTTAAAACTAGCTAGAGATCTTTGAACATTTTGAGAACTGTTTTAAGTTTAAGTTCTGGACAGTTTGGTTGATGAAAAACTTTTTAGAAACTGTTTCAGGCAAATTTGATATTTTGATTCAATTGATCAACGATTGCAAAATGTGGTGGATCAATTCGGTACATCAATACTAGTTGAGCTGAATTGTATTGAAAAAAGTTTTAATAGCTTGCCTTGAAATTATAATTTAAAAATAAAATGTTTTTTTTTTTACGTCACATTGAATGTCTTGGCTATTGAACGTCATCAAACAAACGTAATCAAGTTCCTTGTCATCAGATTGATTTTTTCGCGAAGAGGGAACGGTTGCAACTCATTAACCGAATGAAACTCAATTTTTTTTGTTCCATCGATCTGATGTATTTTTTCCAAAAAGATAACGGTTGGCAATTGATATGTTGCCAACCTTGTTTAACTCCAGTAAAATTATAAGAAGCTTCATTTAGCTCTGCCTTGGCCTACAAAAATCACAAGATTAGCCTGCGAATTTTTTTTTCTATTAAATTATATTTTTTTCATTTTTTTGTTTCTTATTCATTTTTGAAACTTTTTTTGATGATTCCAATATCACTAATTTTCTATGCTTTGGTATATTTTAACATCACATACGAAAAGAATCAACATTGATATGTCTTTTGTTTTTAATTTTTTTTTCAAAGTGGTTGGAACATTCTGTGCTACCTGCACAGCAGCTGTCTCTCCTTTCTCTCTAAGTTCTGGGAGAGTTTCTTTTTAAATTCATTAAATCAATTTGCCAAATTGAAGGGAAATTACGCTCTCTAGTAACTAATGTCAAAAATGTAAAGTAAAAATGTCAACCAAATTTCAATGGTTGCATCATAAAATGTCCATCATAAGAGAATTTTTCTGAAAACTTTAGTCACCTCATGTATATTCCCGGTGGTTTCGATATTTTTGAGACCAATTGCAAAATAAATTTGCGTCAAATTTTAGCGGCTTCCTTTTGTCATGTTTTTTGAAACTATTTTGGTTGGGTTAGGTAACTCAGTTTTGCTTGTGTGATCATTGTCCCATGCAGTTTTTGAATGTGTACTTTTAAAAAAGTAGATGTCTATCAATAAGAATGTTTTCAGTAAGGGTAAAATGAAGATGATTCACTAGTAGTCTCGTACTCCCATTCTGGAAGAACATCCCATCTTTCTTGTGACGGCTGGTACTGTGCTTCAGCGTATTTTATAAACGCAGCTTACAATCTGCTCATGATCGAAATTCCTCGAGAAATTCGTGGTAGAGAGGTTCATTGAGGAAGTAGTTTAATTAATTATTACTGCCTGAAGTACTAAAAGGGTTTTGGCGCTTAAACGACCATGCTTGTTCGATTGAACCTTGGGCCGTTTTAATCATTTTGAAAGGCTTTTGGTGATAAGCTAAGCAGAGTAGTTTGCTATTGCTGTGTTTGAAGCGGAACAAATGTCTTTACCTATCGCATTTCAACATTAACAGGTACTTAAACGTATACCTATGCATTTTGAACTCAAGTCTTGAGTCGAATTCTTTGATGTTTCTGGCGACTTGCGAAGTATACGAACGAAAAGAATTCTGTATTTGAATAACTTAAAACAACGCTAAGGTTGATCGCATTTAGCAAGTTAAATTGAAATCAAGCCTGATCAAAACTGCTGAGGCAGCTTACTGTAATGGTGATATTGGCTTGCTAGTGGCCGACCATGTAATCCAGAATTCGATTTCCCGATCAAATAATACAGGGAGAGAGCAAGTTGGAAAAGCTTATGGCTAGAACAAATAGAGAGGTTCCGTCGAAGCTGTTGCCTGTTGCGCAATGCCACAGAGCACATGTGAACTAACTAGTCTTTTCTCGCGATCAAAGGAAACGGAATTGCAGTGAGAATGGTTTCTTGTGTGAAAGGTTCCCAGCAAGAATAGAAGGCAAACAGAATCATTTGGAGCTCTTTATCAGGTACGAAAAGTATAGTGAGTGTCTCCTCGTAATTTCCGGGCGTTTGTTACACATTCTGTTTTCCATGGGTTACCGAAGAGATTTTCAATATTGGAGAGTCAACGGCAAAGTTTGCGTCCAGGGGGAGACATAAAGCTGAAATTCATTAAGTTGTTTACAACAGTTGCGTGTTGTTTTCTAAACAAGTCTACTGCCCGTTTTGGGAAACAGTAAACCGAAGAGCTCAAAACAAAACATGGATCAGTCATGCTTCTGCAGTGCTAGTTTCCCTTGACGTTGATCCTGCCTACTAACCTAGCGTGTCTTGAATTAGTTTATTTTCTCATTGGCTAGTTAGCACGTTCGCTGATTTTGTACAGTGGCTAAGTACTTTGGTTACTTATTTTCGACCTGAATCCGTTGGTTGTCCTAGCTCAATATGAATTGTGTCAATTGGTTTGAGACACTGTAGTAAAATACTTACCAAAAGAGCCGTGCCAATTACCACCACAAGCCAAACTGCTTCAACTGCGGATAGATCGAAGAGAGCAAACAGCGCAGCGCACAGAAATTACTCATTGGCGTTTTGCTTCCTCGGTAGTTACTTACAGCATGATCTCCCTATTATTTATTCCAGTTATGGATCAATCGGACGAAATATTTGGTCATTATGAAAAAATGTAGAAAACCTGTTTAGTTATTAACTATCGACGTGGATTTATTGGTGTAAATACTGGGTTTCTTGGAATGTAGAGCGTCCAATATGAGCACTGTAACCAAAGTTGATCAAACTCATTTGATCAGTTCAAACGGCCAGAGACGTTCTCAATCTGACGCTTGGATAAGCAAGCAGGACGTGAATAACCCGAACCTGTCTAAAAAGAGTAAAATTAACCAATCTATTTGTGGTTCAACAAAACGCCAAAGCGAAAATATCGATGCAGACGCTGAGAATGACGACGATAGCGAACATCTTGGCAGATGTAGGTCGCCCACAATAAATTCAAACTTCGCCAACAAATATAAAAGAAAAACTTCACCTAGAAGTAGGCATGGATCCAATTCGAATCGTGTGAGTGCTGCATCGGATTCGACAAACACGTCTGAATGCGATCCTCGTGGTAGTTACAACGGAAGTTCAGGTATCGCAAAGGGCAATTCACAAAACGTGTCGAACAGCAAACGGCTTATGAATCTTAGTAAAAAATATTTACATGAAACTTTTGAGGGACGAAAATGGAATCGATTTACTCTCGGGACATTGCCTAGGCGAAAAGGTGGGAATGGCGATAGCGGCTCTGCCGATGAGGAAGACGATGACAATGATACGGATTCTTTGGTCTCATCCTCAGATGATGTCCTTGACAAATCTCTGGAAGATGCCGATGTGACGCCAAGTGCGACTAGTATAGTATCGAAGAACTCCCAGGCATGTCAAACTAGTTGCATGAAGATTAGTGTAGACTCAGTCGCAACTGACAGAATAAAAGGGAGCAATCCCAAACCCAAACAGAAAACCAGGGTATCCCAGGCTAAAATGGAGGATAAAAAAGTGGGAGACAGTTTGCCCCGTCCGATCAAAACGGGCAGAAATATATCGGTATACAAACCACCTAGCTCAAATGCAAATTCAAAACCTGGGAATCATGGCGTACCGAAGTCGGTTTCTTCGAGTTGTCAAACAACTGAAAACGTCAGCAATGAATGTGTTTATGAAAACATGGAACCAAATGCTGCACCGCCAGTCCCTCCGAGAACCTACCTTCATCTACCGCTGGATACCCAGAGTAACCAAACACCTCCCGTTCCGCCTCGAAAACCTTCGATTACACCCGAAGATGGCAGACAAATCCTGCCTAGAACACCTGTTGAATCTAACCGACATTCTACGGCGTCGTCAAATTGCTCGCTGCACAGTGATCAGAGTCTACTGCGCAATCCACATCGTCCCAACCGAAATTACCTGAACCAGGAAAAGCGACAGAGCCAAGACAGTACTGGTAGCACATGCAAAAGACACTCGCAGCTGCTGCACGCGACTTACATGCATAACATAGAAGAGCAAATCAGAGTGCAGCTAGAAAACGCCGAGAAAAGAAAGTCAGGAGGCCATATGATGCAAATGCAGACACGAAGTCACAGCTGTGATAGAACTATTACCCCTACTACGCCACCAGGGAACTCAGAAGCCTCTAAAGCGTACGTTCCGATGCACAGTTATGTTCTACCTAGCCAAACACAGTTACACCAAGCTGGTTGCAGAAATTCAAGAAACTTCTCAATGATGGCGAATAACCAGCAAGTCACGACTCAAGTTTCGAATCAACAAGTAAGCTCACAAGGAGCGAACTATACAAGATATCAGAGATCACGTAGCCAAGCATCAACTAAGGAATATCCCAAACAAGGTAGACTATCCAGGTTTTTCTCGAGGGGTAGATCAGTCACTAATGACAAGAAACCTAGCCAGAATTACATAAATTTTAACCAGGGGCAACAGAATTGTCACGACACAGGAACTATATCACAAGAGATACTTTCAGCCGGAGAAGACGCTAAACAGTTTGCGCTCAAAAGAGCTGCTCTGCAAAAACAATTGGCAGCTACAAAGACTGAAAACTCAACCGTTAATGAAAATTTGAATCGACTAAATTCTGGAGAAATGCAGGTAGTCGAAGTGAAATTATCTAAGACGAATCCATTTTATGACCAAATGATAGAGGAAACCAGGATCTCAGAAGACAGACCATCCGTGATCCTGCCTGTGTCCAATTCTAGGTCTTCTATAAACAGGAATCTGAACGAGTTTATTGACGTAGATGATGTTCCAATTTTGCCGCCAAAAGATAGGAAAACGCAAAGTCTCACTCTAGGAGACTCAGCTAAAATTGTAGAAAAAAGCAATATCAGTCGTAAATTGATGAGCGTTCTCCGCTTTCCGTTTAGTCGCAGAAACTCAAAGCATGGACGAGACTCACGAAGCGAGGCTAAAAATATTTTACCTGCGGCGAATGCTAGTGCGCGCGGTTCAACAGCCTCGGCGGCATCTTCCAGAAGACCAGCTTCTTATGTATCCAATGTATCAAACTGTAGCAATGGATCTGAGTATTTTAACAGGAAAAGTGTTACGACATTAAATTCCCATTCGAACCGTCTATCAAATGCTGCAGCTTTACCAGTTTCTATTCACCCCTCTACAAGTGTAACTGGTGTTGATAAGCAGGCAGGAAGTTACCGTCATATCCCCTCTTCTCTGAGCGGAAGTGGTGAACAACTCATAAGACCAAATCGAAGCAGTTTTGGAGTCTCTTTTGAAATAACGAACAGCTCGGTGAAACAATTGGAAGCAGCAGGATCCCCAATCAGTCGCCAAAGCAATAAAAACAGATTCTCTTCACCAATTCGCACTGAACAGCATATAGCCGGCTTGGAGAGCCGAGAGTACGACACACCTCATGATGCTGCATCTTCAAATGGAACCATGAAGTCAGGAGCTGTTTCCGCAGAGTTATACGAGACGTTAGACTGCGGTTTAGACGAACACGGCCGAGACCGAAGTATCAGATCCAATTTTACAACTGTTTCCAATGCTACGCCTACCAGTACTGGACCGAGGTCTGATGGCGTGCATGTTAGCAAGAAATCATTGCGACAGTTGAGTCATCAAACACCCCTGACAGTCACAACTAATGAGAAAACCTTGTTTTCGGAAGTCTCAACCTTCCCATTAAATAAAACATCACCCAAATCCAGCCCCGATGGCTGTGATGTTTCAAATAAGCTACAAACGCAAAATGTTAATATCAAAAAACCTCCGACAAAATCCTCAGCTGTGTTTGTCACTGTTAACATTGGCCCAAAGAAAACCAGTCCTAGTTTAAACCAGTCAAGTCCAAGGGTCCCTAAAAGGAGTCCTCTGATGTCGACTGAGAGGGAACTGAAAAAAACCAAACTTCCTTTTATTCAGCCTCCATCGGCACCTACTGTGACATGCAACTCGAACTGGTCTTCCAGTGCTCCATCGAGTGTTCAAGTTACACCTGTCAGACCTTCTTCGTTTAAGTTTGTAGACATGGAATCGACGAGTATGTCGGGGTCCCAGGAATTTAACGTCAACAACCAACAGTCTCAGGTGTCAAGATTATCGTCACAGTCAGAACGGAAGCTGAACAGCTTAACTGGAAACATAAACACTGTTTTCAATGTTCATATTGATGATGTGCCGGATAAGTTGGTCACAACAGGTGTTCAAATTCCCCAGCAGCAAAAGATGTCTCCAAAAAGTCCGCTGGGACATTCACCCACAGGCTTAAACCCCCAGCCAAAAACTACTTTAAGTTATGCGCCTCTTAACACTAGATTGGACACAATCATGAGCGAGACTTCCTGCGATGAGTTGGAAACTAGTGGTTTTCGAACCAACTCAGATTCAGACGAGTATAAGTGTCTGCTGTCTGGTAAACACGCCTCCACAAAGAATGACGATAAGAAAAATGAGAAATGGGACGTCAATAACGACCCAATTCAAAGTGACTTTGAGAGGACATTCGAAGATGTGGTGTCCGAAGCAGATTATATGTCGGAAGCCGAGTTTTCTACGGTTGATCGGATGACCTTCAATAGTCGTGTGTTTGGTCTCTCGATGTGGAAAAACAAGCCAAATGTATTCAACGGAGGTGTCGCTCCTCCAGAGCCGATTCCAGAGGTTCTGTCTCAAGATTTCAACGAAGCCGTGAAATTACAGGTTGCTCAGATGGAATCGTTGAATAAAGAACCAAAGCAAACCACAAAAATAAATGAAATTTATCCGGAAAAACTGCCAGTATCGATGAAAAATTTGCGAGATATACGAGATGTGGATTTCTCAGAGTTTTCTCGACAGCTGTCATTGACGGAAGCTTTCTCCGTCGAAGATAAAGTGAGGGGATACCATCCAGATTCCTTGCATGAAAGGTATCCGGATCAGATGAACATACCAGCTCGTGTTTCTCCAGGAGCAAAGAGCAGTAGTTGGGGAAGGGGTTCTGTGAGCAGTGCCATATCATCAGTCAGTAGCAGGCCTCCCACCAGAGCAAGTCATTTGCTGAACGAAAACGAAGATTGCGATTACTTTGACGACAGTCCCTTCCAAAATGAGTCTGATTTTTTCACCAATTCATTGACTTCGGAAAAGAAATCAAAGCCAACAGGTGATGCAAACATGATAAGATGTGGTCCAATAAAATGTTATTTAGAGTGGGATCGTTTTGAGTGAAATACTCACTGATTCATCGGGTTAAAATCTATCGGGTTCTCAAAATGCGCGAAGTTTGCAGTGGTAGGTAATTCGCAAGTATATAGTTTTTGACATTTATAAATTCCAAAATACGATCAAATCATGCAGGGCAAAAATTGAATATTTTTGAGATTAATTCAGGCTCATCTTAATTGCACAAATTTTAGTGACAATTTATTTTGACAAGGCAGATGGGTGCGGGTAACTTGTTCGGTGAGCGTTTGTTAAAGAACCTTCGTTGTTAGCTTAATTTCATTCAAAGGGTCAAATCAATTTTTCACAAATTGTCCGAATGTCGGGTAGTTACGCTTATGTCAAGAATATGCGGGAACTCTGTTAGATTGTTCAATCATGGACATATTTTGCTTACGGATCAATGGGCGTTTACCCAAGTATCGTCGGTTCAGTGGCCGCTCGATAAAGGATAATTTGAGCTTATTAAAAGCTTATTTAGTGGCTGTTTCTTGACTGTTTCTCGAAAAAAAATTAATTTCCGTCTGATTTTTTATTTGCTAGCTTGCAGTACTATGATTGTGTTGTATCGCAAGTGATGCAAAGTTCCATTCCGTTTCGCTTTTTTATTTCGAAAAAAGGTCTCGTTTCGAGAAAATTTGGCTTGAATTTTCTCGCTTTCTAGACCAAATTTCAACTCAATATTGAGGACACTCAATTTAATTCTACTGCCATTTTTTTAAACCATTTTTTAGTTATAATTAGCTCTCGTTATGCAGTAGCAGTTTCTCTTATTTAGGCACCGTTAGCTATAAATTTTATCAACATTTTAAAAAGAAAGGAAATTATATAACTTTGTTCACAGAATGGTCAAATTTAGTAGGAATGGTAATTTCAGACTACTGGCATGCTCAATTTATTGAAAGTTTTTTAAAAAATTATCATCTTTTAAGTAGAAATTAGGGGAAGTTCCTTACAAGTTATAGCTTTTTTTAAAGAAAGTTCTTGAAAGAAGATTTTTTTGGTATTAAGGGCTTTCGTCCTAGTTTTTGTCGGCTCATTTTCCGTAATTGAAAGTTCTGTAATTTGTGGATATTTTTTTTTCGATTAAACGGTATCGGCTGATATTATATCAGCTTTGTCAAATTGTATTACGTAGTTTTGAGGGCGAAACATATTGTTTTGTTTTCCGGTACAGATGGTTCGTGAAAACGTTTAAAACTTTATAGTTTAAAATTTTTTATGACAAGTTTTGTTTTCGGTTCAAATTCTTCTTTTCTTTATTGTTCTCTTTACATATCTTTCATCTACTATCGAACCTTAAAATTTGCCCGGATCCTTCACACTTGGCCTAGAGGTAACGACGTCGACTTGGCACCGTATGTCTGGCGTTTGAGTCTTGGTGGGACCTTGTTTTTTCCCAGTTTATATGCAATTGAAAAGTTTGGTTTAAAATTGAATTGTCTGACTGTCGTTTGCCTGCTCAAGTTTTGTCGGCGTTGTTGTCCCATGACGATTTTTTTTTGCTGTAAGTAATTTTCATTGCAGTTGCAAGTGTTGATCATTGTAGGTTCAGGTGGGACATTTGGATCTTCCTCTTTCTAAGTTTGTTCCGTTGCTAATTTTATATTCAAGTGTCTTGAATGTTTTCTCTGTAATGAAATTTTGTCGAGACATATCGAGAAATTTTAATATTGGTAGGCCTAGTTTTTTCCTTTTTTTCATTTTGTTCTACTTGGTTTTTATGTTTGTATTGTTTCGCAAGTGGTGCGAAAATCCGCTTCGCATGAGTCTTTAATTTTTTTCTTTAATCAAGGTGGTCAGAACATTTTGTGCTTCGTGCACAGCAACCTCTCTTTTTTCAAATTAGGTCGTACACTACTCAGCTTAGTAACACATTTTTTAGGCATGGTAGACGGTGGCCGAACACATGTAATTGATGCATCTTCCCTTAACGGAGGCAAGAGCAAATCGGGCAGTCTGAGAAGTACAGATGACATCGAAGGATCTTCTTCCGCTGGGGGTGCTTCGCAGTCAAGCAACAGAAGCATCTCTTCCAAAGTGTCTCTCAACCGCAGCAAAGATAACAGCACTGAAGACAATCTTTATGATTCGATTGAAATGCTGAACAGTGGTCGCCGCCACACACAGCTGAAGACGAATGAATCGGCAGCCTCTTCTGTGAAAAGCAGTGTAACCAGACATGCAACTGCATCTTCGAGGCAAATAGTAAGAGCCACATTTCAATAGAATAAGTATCAATGAATGAAAATGGAGAGGAAAGATTCCGAATGAAATGTACCGAATGAACATAAATCATATTTTTTTAGTTTTGTAAAAGAAACCATAGCTCCCATCTTAACATGTTTGGGTTATAAGATAATTTTGTATAAAATATAAAATGTATTTCATATTTCATTTGAGTCTCAGTTTCTTATGATGTCTCTTGTTTCTGCTGTGAGGGGTGAAAGTTAAAATGATGTTAATTTGGTTTGCAGCTTATGGAGCATCGGAAATCAAACAGCCATGCGGCAGTGAACTTGCAGAGAGACATGGGTGAAAGCGGAGATAGTGGAGGCGAGTCTGCTACATACTCTCAAGTGAATCGCCACACTCATCACATCACACATGCCAAAAGTCAGCCATGTTCTCCTTTGCCACTTGGAGTGTCGCCACGTGGGTCAAGTCAGGCAAGGAGGGTCACTCAAATGCCACCCTACAAACATGGCAAATCTAAAAGTGAATTGGTACCCTGCGGAATACCTGTTTTAGACACTTCTCCTATTAAACCTCCTCTGACCCAAGAGAGACTCATTTACGAGAGAATGGACAGCGCAGAGTCAGCCGAGGCTAACAATCGTGGATCGAAAGGGTCTCTGCTCGGCTCGACGATTGTGCAACATGGTAGCTCCTCAAGAGCATCGGTGGGATCACCGATCTCTATGACAAACACTAGTGGTACTCCACTCAATCAACAATTAAGTTCATCTTCCAGCCAGGATTCCAGGACAAAATCAAAGGACTGGGATTTGGACAGACATAGTTTGGACAACAATTTAACAACCTTTGAAGATGTTGGGGCGCATATTTACGACGAAGTAGCCGAGGAAGAAGAGCGGAAGAGTACAAACAGTGGAAAAAAGGATTTATTGGCTGGTCAGAAGGTGTCTGCTGTAATTCCGAAACAAACCGGCAAAACAAAAAGTAGTTTGTCGAGATCTCTAGATGCAGATTCAATCGTGACGGGAGATGACAATGCTGTGAAATCTGAGACGAAAAAGAAAACTGGGAAGCTGCGAAAACAGAAGTCTTTCACGAAAAAGTGGCTGTCAAATAAAACTAATTCTAGTGCTACCGCTTCTAATGCGACCCCGAATTCGGGAAGTGCAGCTGTGCCGGTGACTAGTGCTTCCAGTTATTTTGGCCAGCCATTGGAAAAGCTGATCCTGATTGGAAATGATGGTAGCCAGAGTCCAATGCCGCCTCTGTTTGTGACACAGTGCATTCGTTACATTGAGCTGCACGGTGAGTCTATTTAAGAGCATTGTTTATTCAGTAACTAAAATATCCAACGGTTGATTTTGATTCAGTTACAATAACAAAAGTGAAGTGTCAATATCTTGAGCCAAATATCTCTGGAGTAAGTTGAATCACTTGATATTGTAATAATAATTGATTTTGCTAATGCGAAATAAAATTCTGGAGAAGATTTTCCATAAAAATCTATGAACGAGCATCCATAGTAGTTTCGCACAAATTTTAGGTTTGGATAGTGAGGGAATCTACAGACAACCGGGCAACCAGTGCGATAGGGAGAAGCTGATTCACTGGTTTGACAAGTCTGTCCAGGACTCTGGACTGTCTGTTCAAGTGAATGAGGATACCCTAGGTCCCATTGTTAACCAGATGTCGATGCCAGTAGATTCTGTGGCCTCAGCTCTCAAGCAATTCTTCTCTAAACTTCCGCACCCTCTCATACCAGTCAAGTATCACGATTTGTTTATGCGGGCGGCATTGATAGGATCTGGTTCAAGCACTGGCAAGCTGGCATCTCACCTGGCCCTTTTGCCTGTGCCCAACTATGTCACGCTGCGGTGTCTTTCTCTTCATCTCAACAAGTGAGTCAAACGATACTAGACTGCATCATATATGATGGATAATTCCATCACTATAGTACCAGTCTATGTATTAATTAATCTGCCGTATATTTATGAATCTTTTGATAAACCAAGGCCAATTACTTTTCATTCCGATGTTGAACTGAAGATAGCACAACTATTCACTGTGTCGTATACGAGAGCAAGTGTATTGTTATCAGGAGCTAGACTTTTCTCCTGGAAGCAGCTTTCCAACAAATCTGTAAGAAAATGAACTTGTCTAATGGTTGAACCTTAGCTACCAGGCTCGTCCCGACGCAAGCTCTATAAACTTTCTTCTTCAACTTTTGTGGTATGTTGCGCTTTCACCGTAGGTTATTGAGCATTTTGATGCTCCCCGCTGCTTTTGCGACTCGGTAACTTAAATCCTTCGTGATGTTGCCATTGTCCCTAAGTAGTAGAAAACATCAACTTTCTGCTGTCTCTCATTATTAACTGTAAATCTTGGGTACGAGAGTGCGTGCAGAACAGCGTTTTGCCTATATTGAGTCGAAGACTAACGTGTGCCGAGTTTCCAGCAGCCTTGTCCGGGAGCCGCTAGGTATCTGCACCATTGTGGTCAAGCAGCCAATTGTCAACAAGTTTCAGGTCTGCTACAGTCATATCGTCAAGCACGAGATGTGAACATGCCTTTTTCCAGCAATTTCTACTTAATCCAATCAATGGCAATATATATATATTTTTAAAAATGGTAATAAAAACACCTTGTCAGACTCCGTTAAAGATTGAAAAGTGCTGGAGGGAGCTGTAGACACGGACATGGCTGTATGCTTCCGTGTACATGGCTTCCACGAAATCAATTATTTTTTTGTTGAGTCCACAATTTTCAGAATCTCACAATTCTATCTACAATCTCAAATAATGCTTTGATGAATATTGGTTTCGATGAATTTTTTTTCTCTTGTGCTTTGATACTGTTTTTTTCTTGTTACAAAATTTATCGTCCTGTACAGTGTTCTTGAAGCCAGCTCGTTTCTTTCTTCTTTTTCGTTGGTTTCAAGCAATTCTCAATGAGGGCTTTCAAGATCTTGAAAGTGATGTGTTAGTCTGCTATGGACATCCGTTTCTTTGCTTAGGTTTTGTCGTCTAAGTCACGGATTTTTTTTACTGTCAGCAATTTTCTTTGCAGTTCGTCAAGTGTTATTGATTTGCTCCTGTGATTTGTAAATTTGCTAGCACTGGATTAGTTTTTTCGCTATTTGGCCTATGTTTTTTTTTTCGTTTTACGTTTCATTGGATTAGAGACAGTTCTTTGATTCTGTTAAACAATTCATGCCGATTGTGGTCGAAAAATTCAAAGATTAATAACCCTATCGCTCTAAGTCATTCTATGACTGTTTGTTTCCGGCACATTGGGCGTCTACCCACGTATTGTCGGCTTCTTTGTACTGAAAGTGTATTTAATACTGGTGGCTTTGTTTCTCGATAGTTTTTTATATTAGTTTTTCATTTTTTCAACTGTTCTATTCTCTAGCTTGCAATGCTACGCTTGCGTTGTGTTGCAAATGGTACGAGCTCTGTTTCGCCTCTGTGGAATTGATTGGACTGTTCTATAGAATTGATTCTTCGTCTATACTATATTTAAATGCGAGTGACAGCTATCTCCCATGTTTAAGCATAATAATTTTGCATGTTTAACGAAAGAATTTTTTCATGTTTAAGCTATATCATATATTGCAATGCTTAAGAAAATTTTTCAATTAGTTTTCCGCAAAGACATTAATTTTTCAGTAATTTTTTTCGAGGCCAAATTAAGTCTGTCTGTCTGTATACCTGCTTTTTTAATTAATTTGATTATATCTGTCTACCCGTCGCCTAATTTTTCGAGATTTTTCAAAAATTTCTAGAAATTTTTTTTTTTAAAGTTTCTGAAAATTTGAAATTCGCAGCCCTGTAGTTGGAGTATGTCAGGGTAGTCTCAGGGGTTGCGAATGAATGTTGCCCCCAAATATGACTGCTCAAATCCTTTTAGTTTTAGATTTGATATTTTTTAGGATTTTTTCAAGATTTTTGAAAGAACTGAGATATGAACAGTTCCATAAAATTTGAAGTTCACACCTCTATAGTGCGGCTCTGTCATGGTACTCCCAGGAGTTGTGAGTTTCGTCTCCAAATATGACTGCTCAAATGTTTGTAGTTTTTGAGATATGATGTTTTTTGTGATTTTTTTTTTCAAAAAGTTTTCAGAAAACTTAAATTTAGTTTTATTTCTTCTAAATTTGAATTTCCCAACCGTTTAGTTTGGGGCTGTCAGAGTGGGCTCAAATTCTCAAGTGTTGCAAATCGTGCCTCCAACTGTGACTGCTCAAATCTTTGTAGTTTTCCAGATATGACGTTTTTTGTTATTTTTTTTGTGTAATTTATTTTTTTTTCTTCAAATTTTGAACTTCCTAACCCTTTAGTTGAGAGCCGTCAGAGCACTCTCAGGGATTGCGTGAGATCTTGCCTCCAAATGTGGCTGCTCAAATCTTTTGGTTGTTTTCGAGATATGACGTTTTTTTAGGATTTTTTCAAAACTTTTTCAGAAAACTTAATTATAAAAAATTTCGTGAAACTTGAGATTATTATCTGTTTTATGAGGCTCTGCCAGGGTACTCTGAGGTGTTGCGAGTTTTGCCTCTCAATATGACTGCTAAATTTCTTGGAATTTTTAAGAAATGACGTTTTTTTGGATTTTTTTTTCAAAATTTTTCAGAAAACTCAAATATAAAAAATTTCCCAATACTTGACATTATTATCTCTGTAAGGAGGCTCTGTCAGGGTACTCTCTGGAGTTGTGAATTTTGCCTCCAAAAAGGACTGCTCAAAATCGTGCAGTTTTCCAGATATTACGTTTTTAATGAAAATTAAATTATTTTTTTTTCAAAGTTTGAAATTCCTAACCTGTAGTTGTGGGGCTGTCAGAGTAATCTCAGGGATTGCAAATTCTGCCTCCATTTAAGAATGCCCAAATCATTTTTGTTTAAGAGATACAACGATTTGTGTGATTTTTTTGGAAATTTTCAGAAAACTCAAATTACAAAATGTTTCGTTAAAGTGAAATTCCCAAAACTGTAGTTGTCTACTTTCAAAGATTGCGAATATTGCCATCTAAAAAGACTGCTCAAATATTGGTTGTTTTCAAGATTAGAAAATTTAAGGTAAAGTTTCTCAAAATTTGAACTTCCCAACGTTGTAGTTGGGTACTGTAAGAGTACTCTCAGGAGTTGCAAATCTTGCGTCCAAATGCGACTGCTCAATTGCTTTCAGTTTCCCAGATGTGACGTTTCTTAGTTCATTTTAAATTTTTCGAAGAACTTATATAAAACTTCACAAAATTTTATGGTTCTTCAAAATTTGTTTAAAAAGTGTGAATAAAAACTTTGCAAAATTTTTAATTACGAACCCTGTAATTGGGTGCTGTCAGAGTACACTCAAAAAATAGTTTTTTTGAGTTGTTGAAAATTCGAAGCACCGGAGGTGCGGTACACGCTAGTTGGATTTTAAATCGAAAATGTTAAATGTTCCTTTTCTAATTAGGTCGTCAAACCTATTTTTAAAAGTTAAGTGAGTGCACAACCATTGGACATCAATCAGAGGGATCAAAATAAAAATATAGTGGACGCTTTAATTAAATTAAGAATTGTAACACATTTTTTCTAAAGCTTCAAAACTCCAGTACAAAACAAATTCTATTGTACAAATCGAATTCTATTCACTCATTCTAGAACGTCGGCTCTTAGAGATATGTCTTAATGTATCTTAATTTTTCAAAGATATTAAAGTTTTTTCAAAGAACTTAGATAAAAAAACTTAATGGTTTTTCAAAAATTTGAATTGAAAAAACTTGAATGGAATTTTTTTTTTCAAAATTTGAAATCATCAACCCTGTAATTCGGTGCTGTCAGAGTTAACTTAAAGGATGCTGATTTTTTTCCATTATTTACGGTTTTTCATGAGTTGCTAAAAATTCGAAGCACCGGAGGTGCGGCACACGCTAGTTGTTTTGAATTAAGTGTGGCTTTTACGCTTGCGATTAGCAAGCGTTTTTAAATCAGAATTTTATTATCAAATCGGTACTTTTTTGTGTAAACATGCGGTTTGAAAAACCAGTTGCTTGGATTGTAATAGATTCAAAATTCTTAGCTTCTTCGGCACAATTGCTCTAGAGTTAACAACTACATCTAGGTGACAAAGGTTTTAGGTTCAATCCTGGCTAGAATTGTTTTTTTTTCGAACGTGCTTTTTTCGGTTTCAAAAGTATTGTTGGCTTATTGTCTGCTCGGTTGCCACTTGAATGAGCTTTCTTGTGCTGCAAAGAATTTTCATTGTATTTGAAAGTAATTTTCATTTTTGTAATTTGTGTAAATTTACTCATAGTTACATCGAGTTTTTTTGTAATTTCCTTTTTTGTTTAAAGTTGTATTTGCTTGAAATTGCGTTATATTGGCCTAGTGACTTAATAGTGTGTTGTTTGATAGCTTTTATCGTGCTCCCACAGGGTATTCTCAGAAATTTTAGAGTTTCGGAACTGTCAACAGTTTTCCATAGCAACGATTTTGCTTTTGGCTCAACGGGAGATTACTCAAATTTTTAAGGGCTAGTAGTCGCTCGATAAAGGTTTCTGAAAAATTTTTAACGCCGGCGATTGTATTTCTGGACGTGTATTCTTCAAATATAACATCCTTTTTGTTGAATTTTTCTCTCGTGTGGTAGCTTGCAATGCTGTTTGTATGGTATCGCAGGTAGATTTTATTTACTGGTACAACATATTGACAGTTTTGTTTGTTTGCTGATGATTTTTTGTCCTCAGTAAGCGGGATTGAATTGAGAAACCGGCCTTTATGTAACCTAGATTAGTGGACTTAATGAGTTTTTTCAGATTAAGAAATTAATCATTTGGGAAAAGCAGTCTGTTTGATTGTTTCAGAATTGCAAATAGGTGCGATGTGAACAAAATGACGTCTGAGAATCTGGCCACTTGTTTCTGGCCAACTCTTCTCCGCCCGGCATATACGTCATTGGATGCAATGTCCGGAAGCTACAAGTGCAGACAACTGGTCGAAGTAATAATTAACAGATGTCATGAACTGTTTTCCTACAACACGCCCAGACCCGACTCAGATGTCCAGGTTTGAAAAATGAAATCGAAGCACAGACAGGAAACCGGTAATTTGGCGAACTTAACTTCTAATATAAAATATGAATGTTCTATCCATCCTTTGCTAAATTATAATTCTGTTGTGTTAGTTATATTTCGTTAATGTTTTCAAGTAGTCTATACTGAAATGCGTAAAAATTTTGCTTCGTGCTAATGTTGTTTTGCCATGTATATTCTACGGCTGCTGGTTTAACTTGATGATTTTAAAGAACAAAAGTGTACAGATAATTATTAATTTAGATGAAGTTAGTGCAATAAATTTTCATTAAACTAGTTTTTATAACAACAAAACAAAGGTTGCTTAGATTAAAACCTTCCTTATGTAGTACCTGGAGGAAGGTAGTACCTTTTGTGAGCGTTAATGTAATAGTACGATTTTTTTTCTTATCTAAGTATCAAATTTTGTTGCCACTTTTGTTGGCACTTTTACGGCTTTTTGATAGCATGTGGTTTGTAGTAATAAGTTAACACAGTCAATGCATTTTTAATTCAATTGAATCGAACACTCCCTCAATAAAATGAGAGAAGGTTAAAGCACAGTACTAAATTTGCTCATTACAAGGAACTTATGTGGTGAAATCGAATGGAAGGTCAGTTCACTTTTTTCAACTTGAGGCGCAGCTTTCCAGTTTGTGCAAGTATATGTTTTTTTAATAAACAAGGATTAGTCGGTTACTGTGCAGGTTGCACATAATGTTCCGATCAATTTAACTCGGAAAAAATTTGTTTTTGCAGTTTTTGTTGGCCAAATTTTCTCTTGTTTAAACTAGCGGAGGCAAGTGTATTGTAATCGTAATCAAGATTTTTTTCTTTCGTAAACAATTTTCGCACAAATCCTTATGAAATTGTGAAAATGCTTTATTAGTGAACCTTAGCAACTTCGCGACTCCTTCCTTCTTGGCCTCGAGGTAACGCGGTAGGTTTTGTACCCTATGGTCAGCCGTTCGAGTCCTGGCCGGACTTTTTTTTCAATATGTGTTTTCAAATTTAGGTAATGCTATTTTCTGTGTTTCGTGAATGTTTTTCTGAAATCATTTTCAATTTTGTTCTCGATTTTGTCATTTTCTATTCGCCAGCTTTTAATGCTGTGTTTCATTTCTATCGCAAGTGAGCTCCGCTGCGTTTCTGTCTAGAAAAGGTGATTCAGTTTAAATGCGCTTTTATGTTTAAAAAAGTAGGAAAGAGCGGTTACTATAGTTATTACACTTGCGAACTTTTGTGAACGTTAGTGTAATAGTACGAGCTTTTTTCTTATCTAAGTCTCAAATTTTGCTGCCACTTTTGTTGGCACTCTTACGTCTTTTTGATTGCATGTGGTTTGTAGTATTAAGTTAACACAGTCAATGCATTTTTAATTCATCAAATGAATCCGAAAAATCTAGTTGTTTCAAACAACATAAAAATCATAAAAACTCGATTTCAGATAACTTCGTACTAAATGTATCTCGCAATTGATTTTTTTTCTTTCACCTCACATAAGCATCAGTTTTATGACGTAACGAGGGGTGTTACAAGGTTAAACATTAAGACCAAATATGTTTGTCATGATCTAATTAGTTCGCATGCCAATTTTCGTTATATTCGGATAGCGTGAACAAAATTTCATTTGTAAATTTTTGCAGGTGGGAAGAGGGAGGAAAAAAAGCCTAGCAATTTATTGAAATGCATACTTTATACATAATGTGGCTTTATGCTTTTCAATTTCTTACATGCAAAGTTGTGGATGCCTTCAGTGTCTTATATTCCAAATTATTACATGCAAAATAGTGTCTATTTTTATTTGATGCCACTTTTGCTGCATCGCATTGGCGACTTAGAAGCGTGTGTAGCTGCTTTATTTGTGACTGCTAGCTCGAAGCTAATACGCTGCAAAGTTTTACTCATTTGACTTTTACTGATTTCTAGTTCAATTTATAAAGCTGCTTTTGTGTTGTTTTCTCGATAGTGTTAGCGATACGCAGATTCGTCTCTGTGTAAATTTTGTGATAACAGCGTTAAAACTCTTATAAACTTGAAGTTGGAAGGCCATCCTCAGCAAATTTAGTTTGAAAATCAAAAAATCTTCAAAGCAGTTTTTGATGAAACAGACGACAGTTTTGATTTTTTTTTGAAACAGACGACAGTTTTGATGAAACACGACAGAGAATTCGAATCAACCAATAGGGCTTTAATACGATACCACACATCACCCCCTACGAGCTTTCTGTGAGGTAGTAAAAATTGGCAGGAAAATTTTAAAAGCGTACTCTAATCCATCGTTCTTTTCCACTCCTCGAGAGTGGTCGGAACAATAACATAGCTTAATAACAGCTTGATTAAATTCGTTCACTGCAGTTATTGTTTTTATTAAAGTTATTTTGTTGTTTACTTTAAAGTCTTGCGTAAAAGTTGCATCGTCCGAGAAGCCTTGGAGAGGTGAAATATAGGCAGGAGGTTTGTGGTTCAGATTTTGTAGAAGACATAAAATTTAATTTTGAGAGGTTGGTTTGTTTTGATTCAATTTGTTTTTCAAGTTTTTGTTTTAACCGTGTTTTGTTGCTTGTGTTTCTGAAATACAGCTTCGACTTAATGTGCGTTTTCTTACAACCTGAGTACCCCGACAAAGTAGTACAGAAAGCTGGCATATTTTACTTAACCAAATCAAGTAAACGCTTATGTTACAATACATGATCGGTTTTTTGGACACTAACTCCTGGAAATAAAACTTTGGTTTGATGCACCATTTAGCAATTTTTCATCCGCAAATTAAGCATGTGTTTTGTCGCTATATTATAGCGACTGGTATATAAAATTAGGGACAAGTAAATTCAAAGCGAGCCAGGACAGTTCGCCCAGGACAAATCGTATGGTTCAGAGGTTTGCCGTTTGAGGCCCGTAGACAGCTACTTTTTTGTATTGCCAGGTTTAGCAATCTTTTCGTTTTGATGCAAAAGAAAGGCAATTTACGAAGGTGTGCGTAATGTACAAAGGCTTTGATAGATCTTCGTTTCGAATCGCTAAAAAAGCCATTACTCGCACACTTAGTCCGTGGAGCTTTTGCTGCTGAAAGGAATTGTTTGCATTTCTAGCTCAAAGCTCACTTTTGGTTTTAAGTCAAATTTTTATTTTGGTTCGATTTGGACTAGAAGCAAATACTTCCGTTATACTAGAGTACCATTTTTCCAATCTCATTAGCGCAAATTCGTGTTCAACATTTTTTTTTAGATTTTTTTTTGACCGAATACAGGAAAGATCTGTTTAATAATTCATTTACACAAATGAAAATGTAGTTGGTAGCACAAGAAAAAACGCTAAAAGAGCTCCAAACATGCAAAAAAGTACAAAACTATATTATAAAATAGTATTCGCTCTAAAAATGAAAAGAAGTAGCCGACTAGAAGTTTTGAACCAAGTGTAGAACGTCTCTCTGGAATACCATTACTCTAAAATGACTTCGCAACTGCGGCATGTCGGCTTAATTTGTTTTATCCGCTTCATTAAAGCGCATTTTTTGCTAGCTGATATTGATTGATTAAATGTGTGTTAACCAATTAGATATCAAGGTGATGCATAGGCAACTGACTCGTATTCTAGTGGTCCGTTCTGGAGGTGGTTCAAATTTTGAGGCCAGCGAATTCTTTTTATTTTTCAGAGCGTATATTGTTTCAATTTATTTTTTTTCTCGCGTGTTTGAAGCTCCTGTTGCCATTTTTTCTTCAGCTCACTAACATCTGAATAATTGAACATTTAAAATAAATCTGCTGTTGAAAGAGGTATCTAGCAAATATTAAACGTACTAAATGGGGAAAAATTAGCTTTAAATCGTGTGAATTTTAACTGTGGACAAAAAATTCAAGTTGAAACCGTGTCAATTATTTGAGATAGCTAGTAATTTTTGAACATTGTTCAGCTTCAACAAGCTTCAACAACATTCTTCAGCGCTCAACGTGTTGTGAAATTAAGAAAAATTACAAAAAAAACTATTAGTTAAAATTTTCTCTGCTTCAACGTTATTCATTTGAGTAGTGTAAGATATGGCGGAATCTCGCATAGGCGAAAGACCGTAAGGGGGAAATGAAAATCAGCCAATCAAATCTCAGTATTCAAAAATAAGAAAACAAAGCGTGAAAATCTCAAGGAAAGTAAACGTTTCCAGGGACTTAATATTGATAAAGGCCAAAAATGAAAACGGCAGAAAATATGCGAAATTTTTAAATCGCCAATGACTGCCGGCGAATTGGATCAAATTGTATATTTCAAGAGTTTCGTTATCAACGAAGCAAATTATTGCTTCAATTACTTCATTTTAATTGAATGGCAATTGATTGATTTTAATGACTGACAATTGTTTGTTTTCGGTCCTTCGCCCATGAGTCTGTTGCCCATTTGGGCCTTCGCTTATGAGAATATCTCTCTCAGAATTTGTTTTAAAACGTGGTTTGAGTTTTTTCAGTGATTTAATAGTTTTTAAGATAAAATATTCACACTTTATATGAAAGACTTTTTCTGGGGTAGTTAGCGATGTTTGGAGAGTTGTCCAACGGTCTGTAGCTTTTGTTTCGAAGGTGTGGCTCAATTTACTGTAGTTGATTGCTCATCTGTAAATCTTCTGGTTTTTTTTTCAATTAAATTTTTTGTCAGTCATCGAGGCGTGTTGTGAAGACTTATATAGGTTGAGGTTTTTTCAGCAAAAAATTCAAGATCAAATTTGATTTTGTCTTTTCTTTTGTCTTTTCTATTGTTAAAAGGAAGGCAAAATCCATTGTCGAATAGCAAAAATATGAACGTCGCGAAAAATTTTTAGTTTCAAAAGTTGGATTTTTTTCAGAATAATAGTTGAATAAAAATATTTATCTAATAATCCAGTTTTCTCAAATTGGGTTACTTTTATCAAAAAACTACCAATTTTGCCGAAAGCTTTAGGGCCAGGGTTTTTTTGAATCTGGATAATTGAAGTTCTTCCAAAATAAAGTAGTTTTTTATTTCCTTGCGCTCTTTGAGTCTTTTCCAACTGTCTGATGGCTATGTTAAATTGATAAATGGCAATATTTTTTAATAGCGAAAGATCGAGACATCTTCATTTGAAATTTTGTTGAAGAAAAATTCTTACGAGGGAAAAAGGATAAAACTTGAAATAGTCGTAAGTTTTCTGGAGGTCATTTTTGACCTAACTTTAACTAAGATTCGGCTACTTTAAGCTCTCCGTCCTTAATTGATAAAATTTAATAAACTAATCGCCTAAAATTGAATTTTTCTTGTTCGAATTCT